CACTAACACAAGCGTATGGTTTGATTGCAACAACAGCCATAGAAAAAGGAAATCTACCTGTTGTACAATTTGCGTCCCACTCCACATTCGATTATCTGGAAAAGGCACCAACCACTATTTCCACACTAGAATCCACAATGACGGAAATTACTTTCCGATAACGTCTAGTGAGGCGAATTCTGAAATAGCTCAATATCAACAATGCGTCTGGTACTGATGAAGTGACCGTCACCGTACTTAAAAATTGCGCAAATGAACTCGCACCAGTATTTTGCACAGTTTTCAAACTGTTCTACGAGAAAGGGTTTTCTTTTTCTTGTTGGAAGATTGCTTGCGTTCAGCCTAATCTCAAAAAAAATCTTTCAACTAACTATAGTCCAATCGCTTTGCTATAAGTGATTTCAAACCATAATATACTTCAATATCCTGAGCGATCATCAGTATGGTTTTCGAAAACAAAGATTGATAGGCGACCTGTAGCGCTTGATATTTCAAAGGCTTTTGACCGTGTGTGGCATGAGGGTTTGCTGGCCAAACTTAGAAGATATAGCTTATTGGATCATTTGTGTGTATAGCTCTTCAGTTTCCTGGAAAAGCGTTCCCTGCAAGTGGCCATTGATGGATATCTCTCGAATACTTTTATCATCAACGCTGGTGTTCCTCAGGGATTGGCTTCAATCCTATTTTTATTGAAAAAATCAAGAATCCGAAATATTGCTTTGCTAACGACAACACACTTGTTTCTTCATTCTATTTGGATTCCAGAGCATCGGCGGCGAATGCTCATCTTCACCGACAGCAGGAGGTAGCTTATTTTAATAAGGATCTAGAAGTAATTTCGAATTGGGGTGAAAATAACCAGGTTTAATTCGATGCCACAAAATTCCAGGCATCGGTTACTTCCAAAAAGATTAATGTCTACGAACCAGATATAATGATGTCAAGTCAGACAATTTGGCTATCTGCTTCGATAAGTTTGTTTTGGGGTTAAAATGTACACCAATATGTCAAAAACCTGGAACACTGTTCCGCACCAGAAAACTGTACAGACCTCAGCAACTTTCGATGCTTTATAAAGCTCAGATCAGTTCTTCTTTGGAGTTCCCATGTGTGGCCCCTAAGCATACTCTGAAGCTGCTGGATTACATCCAGAAGAGAGTCATCCGCCTGATTGAAGATGCTAACATCACTTGCAACCTTAAGATTGTTGGCAGTTGGGAAAATTGAAGAAATTGAGGTAGTTTTCTACAGTTCGAATAAGAAAATGAACTCCTCATTTATTCCAGAAGATGTTTGACAGCATCTTTCAAATCACCAGTACTATTTCATTCATGAACCAATTTAAATAAAACAATACTTCATTATCAGAACTCTTTTGAAATGATAATACAAACTTTTGGTATTGATTCAAGTTAAATCCAATCACTTCCAGATCTAATGAAAATCTGCTGAAAATTATTAGATTTTTATTGATTTGATATACGCATTACGCACATTTTGGAAAATGCCACAGATTTTCTTTCTATTGAATTGTATACCTCTCAAGATGGAATATAGAGTTATCCACCATTTTCAATATGAAGTTTTCCTCCATATGTCATACAATATGCTAAACAAACATCTGAAAATTTTTGTATCACACCATCGATAGAGAATATCGGTTCTGATATAAAAATATAATCTGTGTTTCTTCATCACACGTTTCGAGCTTATTTGTCGTTAAACGGAAGTTTGCTCAAGTTTTTTTTTCGTTTTTTTCATTATATAGATTCCGCAGTATGTGAATTAACGACTTATACAAGTTGTTGCAAAATTTTTAATGCAAGGGTAGTACAATGTAGTACAATGTACGATAGTTTCCTCAGACGATGTAGAAAGTATTTCACTAATATGATTCATAAACACAGGTCATTGGGTATTTTCCAGGAAAAGTGCAAATAACATGTGGATTGCTTTTGTAGTGTGTACATTTTCAAATTCTGGCATCATCCCAATGATATCACAAGTATTCTTCGCAAGATATTTTTGGTGTGGAACACCTATAGCCGCACGTGAAACCGATTGCTGTTCTGGCGACGGGTCGCCATGCGCAAGCGACTGTGCGATTCTCTTCCCAATGGTTTGGCGTTACGCCATCCCTTTCGCCACACTGAGCTCGAATACCTATAGTGTATACAGTTGTGTGCACTTCAGTATACATACCAGTATTTTACTGAATTTTACAAAATAAAACGAAAGTGAGCAGTCTCCTACAAAGAAAGCAAAATCACCCTATCAATACATTCCTGAGTAAACTATATTTTTTTATTATATAATCGAAGTGTGCATTCATCTGTGCATTACACCCTTATATATTTAGTCTGTCTCAAGGGTCAGTAAATGTAAAATCTACTCTCTTGTGCCGCACGTGAAACCGATTGCTGTTCTGGCGACGGGTCGCCATGCGCAAGCGACTGTGCGATTCTCTTCCCAATGGTTTGGCGTTACGCCATCCCAGGAACACTGAATATAACTATTACCGAAGTCACTGATTGAAAGAGTTGAGTTGTCACAATTTGAAATAAACTTTTAATTCTTGTATTAAATGAAAATGAATGTTTGTCAAATGAACTATCATCATTTTCTAGAAAATGATGAAAATAACGTAATATTTCATTTTTACGTTATGCCATATTATTTTATGTCGTAATTTGTTTTTTTATGCATATATTTTGTACAAAATATTTTGATGTTTCAGATCTGTCAGGCGTCCCGTGATGAATCACAATTTTTTTTCATGGGGAGTCAATTTTCTTAGTACCAACGCACTGATATTTCTTCTGTATCAAAAATATACCTTGTTCCTGTGGGAAACATTATATGTACAGTGCGTATAAATACTTCAAAATATCGAAGACGAACTAAGTAACGAAATTTCATTTGTTCTATTGGCGAAATTTATGAACACGACAATATTATTTTAGTAACATTTCATTGTGAGATATTCACTAGACAGATTTTCATACTCTGGATGAAAACGCTTGATAAAGCTATTGTATATCGAAACACGTTTTGCGATTTTCTAAACTGTTTATTGAAAATCTGACAATAATTTATGGATTCTTATCGAGTATCGGCCAAATACACAACATTTCTGAATGCGTCAAGTTACTAGCCAATAAAACTCTTCAGAGATTCATATGACGCAGTTACTCTTTGTAGTGAACTGTTCAGTTTGATCCTTATTACACTTCAGTCAATTTTCTATAGATCTAGTTTTGTTTATTTTCTACATTGTAGAAAGTCAGTCCGTCAAAAATTAGATAGAAACATTGACTTCTACTCAGGAGAATATAATTGAAAGAATATTTGCACATACGTTATGGACTGCAATATAAGAATTTATGTCAATTATAATTACGTCTGTAATTGAGTTCTGACATTTTATATTCATTCCTACAACACCAAAAAAAGAATCTATATCCATAAATTCCAACAGATATTCTCGGATATGTGTAATAATCAACCATTCAGGAAAAACAGTGGATAATTTGTGTTCTACAGAACTGAATATGAACGGAAATCTCGTGTTAGTAAGACGACTGACTTTTGCACACGCTCCAACAATAGTTCCAACTTCAGATCTGGTAATCGTTATAGAACATACAGCTCAAATTTCACCTGGAGGAATTGCTGATAGCACAACTGTTTTTTCTCAACCACTTCAAGTTGAAAAAATTCGAGAGCAGTTTTGAAATTCTTTCCGCAGATAAAAGTGAAGTAATTGATTTTCGAGACAATGTATAGAGTACACAATACAAATTGTACTGTTAAAACAATGAACTTTTACGAAAAACTAAAATAAATCCCCATACAATTGGGGAAACAAAAGATATTTAGGAATCACACGTTTGAAGTTGAGACCTCGTTAGTCCTTAGCTTGCACAAGTTTTGACTTTTGAGAGTTATCGTTCGTAGGAGGGTGACAGCTGGTTAACGAAAAACAGATTTTGACAGATTTTAATAGATTTTTCAATAGATATATAAAATTCTACCTGAATACACAAAAATTTTCACAAAAACTGAACGTACTCAACTCATTATAGATGACTAGAGTAAATCTCCACATTTTTATGATTTGACAAGAATAAACAAACGAAATTGTCTTGTAAGATCAATCATTAGTCAAGTTTGAAACCTTTGTCTGTTACATGAAGCATACTTTTATTTCTTCGAAGAACTGAACTACATAGTTACACATAGAATACAGTAAAATAACCCTTCATCAAGAGCAAAGCATATATACAAATTTCTTTCAAATACTAGCTGGAAGAAAAACTCAGATGAGATAATAGGATGAATGTCCTCCCCCACCTGAAATTTCGAACCATACTATTGATGGTTATAGTGTTCCATGTAAGTTACGTTCCATATCGATTTTTTTATATTATATCAAATGACTGTGAATATATATTTCAATCACATCACAAATTATTGTACCACGAACTGTATGATTCAACGTTCATATGGAAGTAATTTTTTGAGAGGAGTTGTTTTCAGTATAATTTAAAATTTATTCAAAATTCATGTGAAAGTATATATTTTAAAGGTGTTTTGTCGAGTATTTGTCTAGAAAAACTTTTGTATATAATCTACATATCTTCATGAAAAGTTTTGTCGCTGAAGATCATTTCGTTTTTGTTTTTTTTTTGGAGGTGTCCCACATTTTTCTAATGATGAAGAAGTAGATCAGCAAAGAATTTTGCCCCAATAAACTAGTCTCTCCTAAAAATTTCAATTCAACTGGATTGAGGGATTTGGGTTAATTTTTCAAGATTTTCTCTTTCACAAATGTGTTCTACTATCAATTCTTGCTTTACTGAAATCAACAGTATATAGCCAAAGATTTTGACAAAATACATTCGGAAATAAATCTTTCAATTTTTGAAGTGTATAAGACAACTTTTCGATTGAAATCTTCACTTGGATCACTATAACTATAATGTTTCGAATAATATTACCTTGACTAAAATATCCTTTGCTATTTCCGGATCTGCTATAACTAATATTGGTCGAGTAATTGAAAATATCCCTGCAAACTTATGCTTTTTTCTCCTGATTTCTTCATAAATGTTGCAGTTTTCGAACGTAGCACCAGGATATTTGCATAATACGTTTTGATAATTTCCCAATGGAAATTTAGGGATCAAATATGGAAACTTTCTGTCTCTCCAGTAATTGAAGCAGATTGAGAAGTAGGTATACACAACCAATAATAGAATGCTGGCATATATGATCAGGTCAAGTAACAGGTTTAGAAAATATATCTCCATAATACCTGAAAAATGTTTAATGCATCATAAACTTACCGATCGTTCATCGAATATCTACATTGATAGATGTATATCAATCCCAACAATGGTGAATATTCAGAATAACATTAGCAGAATCAAATTCAAGACATATTGAGTCAGAAAATTTTCAACTGTACATTTATTAATGTAGTTACTTTTCATTCGATTGTTAGTAGGAAAAGATTATATTTTGGTTATTCAAAATATATTAGTAGCTCTAGGAAAACTGATCTCTATCGCTCAAAACGTTTGAAGTATTATTGAAAAACAAAAATTATAATGAAAATCTCACAAATTCTATCAATGAAATATTTCCGACAGTTTAACCGACACTTCAACTGTTCTGCCTCAATTTTCACTTCAATTCGAAGTAAAGCTGTAATATAACAACAACGAACAATTCAAAAACAATATGCAAGGACAAAGTTCCACATAATACATTATTCATAAACATTATCTTCTGGTTCACTAACGAGTGTTGAATTTTCTTAATGAAGGAAGTAAATAATGAGCATTCAGAGTGTGATATGAAGCAGGGATATCGACTGTTTTCTATAGTAGGTGAAGTTTCTCTAGAAAGGACAATAATGATGATTTCTTCATTATGATATGTATGAATGTTTCATCAAATACTTGTAATGCTTGAATTATTGGATAATTCATAATAATGAATAATCCCCTTTGAGAATTATTTTGTAAAAACCACGAATGAACAGATCCTATAAAAAATACTGGGATTGCTTCTGCAGTTTTTCAAATGCTGTTTTGTGAAGTAATGAGTTATTGAATGGTGATGATTATCATCAAAGAAGAAGAATTTTCCTTCGATTCGTTTGGGCGCAACTGCACCTCGGGTGTTCCACAAGGAAGCAACCTAGGTCCAATTCTCTTTAACGCCTTCATAAACGACATAGTTGAGGTCATTGACATCAACTGTTTGATATACTTGGATGACCTGAAATTATATTGTGAGATCAATGGCATCGAGAACTGTATTCAACTCTCCCTCAATCTGAAACGTGTTGAGCAATGGTTTTTTCGCAATATTCTTCCTTTGAACGCGAGTATATGTATTGTAATGACGTACATACTGAAAAATCGTCCATTTTCATATCAATATTCAATAAACGATATTCCACTTCAATGGCCTCACACATTCATCGATCTAGGTGTTACCTTCGATACAAAACTTTCCTTCGTACCACACTGTGAAGCCACCATGTCTGCTGCAAACAGAATGTATGGATTTATTGGACGAATCTCCAGAGATTTCGCGGATCAATTTACATCGAAAACGTCACACTATGCTTTCCCCAGATCAAAATTAAAATGTGCATCCATAATCTGGAATCCATCTCATCAGTTGTATACAGAGAAAGTTGAATCAGTACAACGTCGTTACTTAAAATTTCTCTCCTATAGAGTAGACAATATCTATCCACCAATCGGATTTTCCCATGATACATTGTTAGCTAGACATGCTATGAACGGCTTGAGTTGCCGTCGTGATTATCACTTCACAATGTTTCCTTGTAAACTAATTAATAATTCAATTATTGACACACATATTCTGCAAAAAGTTAATTTCAAAGTACCTGGACCAACCCTTGAGTGGTTAATCCTTTTTATATGCTAACACCACGTACAAATATTCTGAAACGTTCACCTCTGCATAACATGTGTGTCAAATGCAATTCTGCAAATTGTCAGCTCGACATTTTTCACTGTTCATCCTCTGAGATTAGGTCTTTTCACTTCATCTAATTCTATATGTAGCGTATTCCAAAAACACTTTATTGTGAGATTTTTACTAAATTTAGTGAAAATCTCACAATAAAGTGTTTTTGGAATACGTTAGTTATCGATTTTCATCAAGTATCGGCCGATTCCATCATATATCTATATGTAGCGTTATTGTAATTGTATTTTATTGTAATTTCACTTATATCCCTGTTCTGTAGTTGGGTGTAACCTGTAGAACAGTATAGAAATAAATAAAAAATAAATATTTGTGGTGAGATTCCAGTAGTCCATATTGTAGGACCATATTTTGCCGATCATTACTTTAGGGATATAATTATATTGAACTTTCTTAAATAGCAGTAAACCCCACATCAACATTTTCGAAATACATCACACCTCCTATCAAAACAGAGCTTTCTGTACATTTCTTGACACCCGAACGCTAATGTTTGAGTTGATATTTTATAAACTGATGGATTGTGGGGCCGTCACCAACAGAGTATCTTTGGAATTTTCTGTTTCATCATCATCAGATTTTTTCATGGAAATATCAAAAATCTAAATTGTTCATACCGACAAACACAACAAACATTAACGTCTTTATGTGTATTACTGATGGAACATCTCATACGATAGCATTTTAGGTGACAACAGAGAAACATCTTGAAAAATACATATTTTTCATTGAATTTTTCCACAACACTCGATTGTAAGTAATCTTTCGCGTTCATGATAATCCTGTAGAATTTCCTGAAGTAGGAGTTGCTGAGAATGAAGATTTTGACAGCACAATAATAACGTCTCGAAATGATCATTGACCAAGTTAAGGTGTAAGGAATCGAGCCGACAGTTTAATTGCCGCAGCATGATATGCGGTTACAAACGATCCCCTCTTCAGATAATGCGAGGCTCTGCTAGAGTGACCACCTCTTCCCCTGCTATTCGTGGGAACACACATGAATGCAAAAACAGGCACTAAAATAACAAAAACCAATCCCGAGGCTGGTCAGGAATGCCACCTCAAATTATGGCGGTGGCTGGGGATGAACAGAAATGTCCATCCCAATCCACCACTTGGTATCAAATCAAATCAAATTTATTTCAATTTTTCAGTACGATTATGTGAAATTTAGTCATTAACATAATATGTCAAAACCACTACAAATGGGTGAAATACACCTAGGCATCAGAATGCCTGTTTGTGCTCTTTCACTCCACTCATAGTTGGAATATCATTTTACAGTAAATACTTACATATTTCATACAAAAATTATTCATTTTTTATTGTAAATTCAGAACAAGAGAAACATAAAAGTGACAGTAAATTAAAATTTGATTGAAATTACAATGGGGGTGAAGGTCGGAAGAAAGTAAACTGTAAGTTACCTCCAGCACTAAATAAGGAGTTGTTGGTAATTCATTCCAATATATTTTCAGAATATGTCAAGTATTCTAGAATTTTCTAATATATACTATTTGATAGCAGATTTGTATTTTTCAATTTTTGATATTGTTTTAAGCTCCATAGGAAGCTGGTTATATAATTTTTGCCCGAAAAAAAAGACGAATCTTTGCGTATGGGATTTTCGATAATGGGGGTCCTAACATTTTGATTATCAGTAAATCTAGTTTTTTTAAAAGTTATCGTTGTATATTATTTTCAATTTGAAAACATCCAAATCAAACACTGGTTGCAGTAGTGTGCTCTAACATTCAGTAATTTGGTTTCTTCATACAGTTTATGGGTCGAAAATCGTTTACCTTTCTTTAATATTATTTTTAATAAGCAATTCTGCATGGCTTGTAGAGGCTTTATCAAAGTATCAAAAGTTCCCTCCCATACAGTAATACAGTATCGTAATATACTTTCTGCCAGTGAGGTGTATACCAGGAACATGTTTTTCTGTGACAGAATGTCTCTGAGCATATAAAACTTATACATTAGAAGCCACAGTCTTTTCATGACATTTGCAACGTGGTCGTCCCATCTGATGTGTTGGTCGATAATAACTCCCAAATATTTAACCGATGATGTTTTATCTATTGACGAACAGCTACATGTTGTTTTATGGTTGCATAGTCTCTTGTGTATTTTTAGGTTATTGATCTGAGGATTATCTGGAGTACTAAGTGAGAATGCCATGAATTTGTTCTTACTGATGTTCAAGCTCAGCAGGTTATTATTCAGCCGAATGAGAATTTTTCCAAGTTCGTTTTCAGCAGTTTTATAGACGTCATTCCAGGTTTCGCCTCTGAAAATCAACGCTGTGTCATCTGCATACCAAATAATGTGCCCACGAAAACCACTGATTTGTGATACACTGTTGATGTATATCAAGAACAGAATTGGGCCCAAAACTGTACCCTGAGGTACACCAACAGATATATTTGCTGAACTGCTGAGTTCTTTCCCTATCGTAACTTTCTGTGTTCTCTGTGACAAATAATTCTGCATCAATTTCAAACTTTGCTCGTACCCAAAAAGTTTTCCCAACAAGACATCATGTAACACGGTGTCGAAAGCTTTTGCTAAATCAAGAAAAACAGCCAAACATTTCGATGATTCATCCATTATTTTTATTGTATGTTCCATAAAGTCTAAAACAGTGTTTTCAGTATTCGAGTTTTGAATGAATCCAAAATGTCTGTCGGTTATAAGATGGTGCTTATTGAGAAATTCAAGTAATCTTTTCATGACCGATTGTTCAAAGATTTTTGCAAAATTATCTATTACAGAGATTGGTCTATAATTTTTCATTTCGTGTCTGTTCCCAGCCTTGTAAACGGGTATAACTCTTGACTCTTTCCATTGGTTGGGTAGATTCTCATTTATGTAGCATAAATACATCAGATGGACAAGCGGTTTCAAAATATGTATATGTATGTTTTTGATGAGTTTGGAGGTGATTCCATCTGGCCCTGGTGCACTATTATTTTTGAGTCTACCTGTAGACAAGATTATCTCATTTTCATCAATGGGTTGCAGGAACATTGTGGAAGCAATTGATGGTTCTTTTGAAAAATTGTTTGGTAAATCACATCTGTCAATTTGGTTAGTCATGTTGAGTCCTATTTTTGTGAAATTGTCATTAAAGGAATCAGCTTTTAATTTATTTTCAGTTATGGGGATACCATTTTCTCCAGCAATAGTAATGTTTTCTATTTGGTTTTTATTTGATTTGGTATTGAATATTTCATTTATGATTTTCGATGTTTGCTAACAGTCTTCATTGCCTTCATCTAGTTTATTTTTGTAATATTGGTTTTTCGCCGTTCTGATTAATTTGTTGACCATATTTCTATAATTTTTATATTGCTGCTCTAAGTCGTGAGAATAATTTTTCAGCAAATTCTTTTTGAGGTAGTCCCTTTTTTTGATAGAAATAACTAAACCTGCCATTATCCATGGTTTTCGAAAACTTATGTGAATTTCTGGAACTTCATCTAGCTTTTTCTAATATGACTAATAACTAGTCCGTGCAAAGCCTATTGTTGAATCATTTGAATATGGAATTTTTAACAGGTAATGATTGAATGTATTGCCAAACATGCGCCAAATAAAATGATCATCCAAAGTGGACATAAATTTTTGAGAATTCTGCCACATCTATGTGGTCATGATATAATCTATGACGAATTAATACTCTGGATGATTTCTTATAGAAAAATTTCATACTTTGAACGTAAATCTTGCA